TGTCCTGGGGAGGGGCCCCTGTTGTGTAGCAGTTTTTTGGCATCCCTAGATGGGCCAAATATTGCCCCCTCCCTGGGACCTCTTGTTCAGTAACAAAACCAGGGTAATTTATACAACTTGACATGTTTTCCCTTATGGTTAATAATGATATTATCCTGGTTGTCGTACTCCCCTGTATAAGGGAGAGGGGAATCTGTGGAGATTTTTCCATCCTTTCAGGCAGTTTCGTGGGGAATACTAACGTTTTCCCCTGAATTGTTCCCTTCCTCTTGGGTGATTTTCACAAGAATAAGTAAGTACAGTTCAATGTCTATATTCAGTAGCAAGAGTAAAATAATTACAATAAAATAGCCAATTGTTAACCCATTTTGGATGCCACGTTCTCTTCTGGAGAGACGAATTCCTTGAACTCAACTCCTCCATGCCTGGACCTTGTCAGACAACATGTTTGGAAGAGGACGTGGCAGTAACCCTGGCTGGTGTAGCTCAGTGGATTGAGTGCCAGCCTATGAATCAAAGGGTCGCCAGTTTGATTCCCAGTCTAGGGAACGTGCCTGGGTTGCGGGCCAGGTTCCTGGTAGGGGGCACGTGAGAGGCCACCACACATTGATATTTTTCTCCCTCCCTTCTCTCTCCCTTCTCCTCTCTAAAAATAAATAGTTAAAATCTTTAAAAAATAAAAATATTATAAAAATAATCAAGAAAGTATGTCAACTTAAGAGGACTTTTTCTAAAATGATTAATCAAATATTTGGCCTTAAATAAACCATGTTTACTCATCTGAAAAATTAATTCATTAAAAGCATCTATTTCCCTGAAAATACCTAGTAATTCAGTTTTACTATTTTTTTTCTTACTGTATTTCAGCTATATTATACAACTGTTACTCTAAAAGTCCAGCTATTTAGGAAAGAGTGTAAGGCATTCTCCTTACAGGGTTATCACCTCAGTGAATTCTAACTCACTGGGGCTTCTTTTATTTTCTACTTCATACAAGGAGGTTTTGTTACTATCAACGCATCTCCCATAGCCTGAGATAAAAACAATGTGCGATAGCCCCAGTCATGCTTCTTAGTGAATACCATTCAGAGTCTATATCTAGCAGGAAGGTCCCATATTGGTGTTTTATGATTCATATTCATTAGAAGGATTCCTGCCTTTGATTATAATCTAAGTTCTAAGTAGAGGGGTTTTGAAAATTCTTCAGTATAGAATAACCAGTTACTTGGGAAAATAAATTTGTAACGCTTCAATATTAAGGCAAGTGCTGGAGAGCAGAGGTAGTACGTGAGATTAAGTATTAAGGTAGATACCTATAGAAGTGGAAAATATGTGTACACTTGTGGTCTGTCCTTTTTCTCCTGGTGATCTGAATAAAATCTTAATTTTTTCTTTTTCTTTTTTAAAAAACAGCTTTATTGTGGTATAATTCACAACCTGTAAAATCTGCCTATTACAAGTGTACAGTTCACTAATTTCTAGTATATTTACATAGCTATACAAACATCACAAAAATTCACTTTTAAAAAACATATTATCTAAATTCAGATTAGAATTTTTATTCATTTCTACTCATTTTGTACTATCCAATTTAGTCACAACTTTTCTTTATCATTTTCTTCTTTTATTCTGGTGTATATTGACCTCTCCTTTCTTTGATCTCTAACATTTGTCTGTCCCCAAGGACAGATTTTAGATATCAATTAGCTAGAACTATGCATATCACTGAAGAAGAAGCAACTAAACCCTCTTCTATCCTCCAAACTCTTTGTCATGCTGCTTGAAATTCTTTACCACAGTTCCTAACACTCCACCATTAGAAATTTTGCTTATTGAATATGGACTAAATATTAGTAAGTAGTATCATGTCAACATTAAATTTTCTGAATTTGAGAATGACTATATAGGGAATATCTTGGTTCTTAGGAGATACTTGTGAAGAATTTAGGGATAAGAATTATAATGCTTGCAATTTAATCTAAGGTGGTTCAGCAAAATAACATTAGTAATAATTATATACATACATCAAATCATATGGGGTAGGTGTAAGGGAAACTAATAAAATGTGGGAAAACATTAATAACTGGTAAATCTAAGTGAAGAATACATGGGGGTTTATTATAAAATGTGCAATTTTTCTGTATGTTTACATTTTTTAAAAAATTTTAAATAAAATGGTTTCCTTTAGTTCAGTGGTTCTCTGACCTAGTAGTAGCATGTTAGAATCACATGAGAGCTTTTAGAATCTACAAATGCTTTGTCCTACCTGCTGGAGATTTTGCTTTAATTGAACTTGTGTGAGGTCCAAGCATCTGGATTTCCTTTAAATCCTTCCAGAGGAATCTTTTTTTTTTTTATGCTTCTTTTGCATTCTTTAAAACATCTTGCAACATTCCAGGCATAAAACAAGTCCTCATTACATTTTAATTGAAGTGAATTCATTAAAAAAAAAAGTAATTTCTTACATGTAGCCCTAATCATGTCATGGCTGTTTACCCAAATTAGCAGCTATAAATGTATGTATATTACTTTTGTATATCCACTGCCAATGATGCATGATTATTACCTGTAATATGTATATCCACTTATATTACCTGCTTATGTATATCCACTGCCAATGATGCATGATTATTACCTGTAATATGTGTGTATCCTTCCCATTATGACAGTAGGGCTTTTACTCTGCCAAAGAGCTGTGATAATTGTAATTTTAGATGGCCAGTGCTGCAGGTCCAGTTTTATAGGACTTTCAAGGAAAGAAAATAGGGATGGTTTGTCAAGGGTACTGCTGAGATCAATGATGCTAAGTACTTTAGAGTTACAAAGAAGGAACAAGCTGGAGAATGAGTATATTGGAGAGGACAAGATGAAAAATACTGAAAATTACTTCTGGTCTAGATGACAGCATAAGCAGACATGGCTCGTCTCTTGTCACAACCACATCAAAATTGCAACTAAAATATAGAACAACCATCACTCAAAACCACCAGAAATTGAGTTGAATGGAAGTCTGACAACCACGGAATTAAAGAAACCACATCCATCCAGACAGGTAGGAGGAATATAGACTTGGACTAAATATGGACTAAATATGAATTGGAATGGGCCAGTCCCTCACTCACATGGGTGGATAAAAATTCAGGAGGGATATCTCAGGAACGAGGAGTCCCAATCCCAAACTAGGCCCCCCTGCCCAGGGTTCCAGTGTCAGGAAGATAAGTCCCCACAACTTTTGGCTGCAAAAACCATCAGGAATGGAGTCAGTGGAAGAAACTGCAGGAGCCCCAAGCAGTTCCTAAAGAACCCACACATGGACTCACCTACTCAGACTCACTTCCTCTGAGCTTCAGCACCAGGGTAACAGCTAAAAAGGCACCAGTGGAATAGGGTAGAAACTGAAGTGACTGGCATCAAGGCAAGCAGAGGCCACTGTCTCTTTTCTAAACTCTCCTCCCTCAGAGCCACAGAGCCCACAAGCTGGTACCATACATGAGACTCCATCAACCCAGCTAACACTGTTTGGCCCTCCTTGGAGATCCCCAGAGACTGCCCCACCCAACCTACAGGCCCACCCAAGCTGCTTTTCCATATGAATGGCTGGTCTTGACTCATGCTGCACAACTTCCTAAATCCTCTCAAATAACCAATAACTGGCTTCAGCGAGCTCCAGGCCCAGCACTAGCAGCAGCCTGCTTAGAGTCACAGCTTGGCTTTGCTTGGGAATCTCCAATCCCAGCACAAGTATCAGCCATCTCAGATTGCTTTATAGCTTTGGCAGGGTGGCCCCAGGCAAAACACGGGTGGGGGCTGACCTTGACCTGCACCACCTGGGATACCTCAGGGCCAGTCCAGCCAGTCCATCCAGTGGACAGCTACAGACCATGTCAGAGCACCATTATTCTACCCCTGTATAGCTTATATTAACAGAAACCACAGCTCAACAAGAGGAGGGTGTACTCAGCTGACACAAAGGGTGCACCTCAAGAACCCAGCTTGGGTGACAGGGGAGGCTGTGCCACTGGACCCTACAGGACACCTACTACATTAGGCCACACTACCAAGACATGGAGTCAAAGCAGCTCTACCTAATAGGCAGGAACAAACATAGGGAGGCTGCCAGAATGAGGAGACAAAGAAACATGGCCCAAATGAGAGAACAGATCAAAGCTCCAGAAAAAGAGCTAAACAAAATGGAGATAAGCAATCTATCATATGCAGAGTTCAAAACACTGTTTATCAGGATGTTCAAGGAACTTAGTGAGGACCTCAGCACAATAAAAAAGATCCAGTCAGAAACGAAGGACACAGTAATTGAAATAAAGAACAATTTACAGGGAAACAACAATAGACTGGATGAAGCCAAGAATCACATCAATGATTTGGAACATAAGGAAGCAAAAAATAACCAATCAGAACAAGAAGAAAAAAGAATTAAAACAACAACAACAACAAGGATAGTGAGTGTAAGTGGCCTCGGGGAAAACTTCATGGTGGAAAAGGTACAGAGATTAAGAAACATAATTGGTAGGTATAAAATAGAAAAGGGGGATGTTAAGAATAGTATAGGAAATGGAGAAGCCACAGAACTTATATGGACATGAACTAAGCGGGGAGGCGTTTGCTAGAGGGAATGGGTGTACCAAGCAGAGGGGTGCTGAGGGGGAAATACTGAAAACCATAATAGCATAATTATTAAAATACACTTTAAAAAAACAAAAAATTAAATTAATAAAAACTAATTTTTCTTCTATAAGGGGATGGGGGAAAGAGGGAGGAAGGAAGGAAGGGAGGGAGGGAGGGAGGGAGGGAAAGGAAAAGGAAAAGGAAAAAGAAAAAGAAAAGGAAAAGAAAGACTCCAGTAAAATCCACTTAGGAAACTGAGAATTTGTGAATCCGCCTTTCATTATTCCAGTTCCCCATATACTGGGAAGAGAAACCAGTGAGATTGGGAAACTATTTCAATACCTCTTTAATAATGCTGTGCACAATAGTATGACTAATTACTGTGGATGTAAGATTTGCAATGGTTGTTTATTCTGCCCACCATCATTAAGGCAAGGGCTAAAGTAGGGATAAAGTTTCTCCATGAAAGTGCTTCTGAAGGTGTAAATGTGTGTCATGGTTTTAGCATTGTAGAAGGACACCTGTCCTCCTTCGTAATCTAGATATATGCCCACCTTGTTAAGGTTGTTAGTCAGTTTCATACTGCAAGAAGGCAAATCCAGAGCCTTTAGATCATTTTGGTTCCTTAGTCTTAAAAGCCAGAATCCTTGCTCAGGAGTTAGAGGACAGCTCCCTTTTCTAATGATGGATTCTCTGACAACTCCAACTGTCCACTTTGTCTTCTTTGCTACTTCTACCTCCCAATACCATTTTCCAGATGTGAAGCCTTTTGAGCCCAGCACAGCCACACTTGAGTCGAATCTTTCTGGATCATCGGGCATTACCTGCTTAAGGTCATCATGCCACACACTGGTTTGATCTTTGGAGAGCAACAAATTTGGGTGCGCTGTTTTAGGGTCCAGAGTTAATGGAGATAAGCCTAGTAAGAAAATAAGAGAAAGTAGGGCATGGGAGAAAAAGTGAATGCAATTTTCTGTAGTAAAAGGCAGTATTTACATAAACAGCAATAATTTATCTCCCTATCCACATATACTCTTAGCCATGTAATTACTTATATATAATCTTTATTACTTTGGTACCTTTGTAGCTATAGCTAGTTATTCTTATATTTGTAGTAAAAATCAGAGTATACTCTGCAGCAATTCTCTAATAAAGAAAGCAATACAAATAATATACAAATGCTAAAGAGGTAATGATTAGATAAGTTTGTCCTAGAAAAGCTTTTAAGAGAGTAACTATTTCAGTTGTGATATAACATCTCTGAGATGTATTTAGGATGCTTTAGGTACATAGAGGCAAAAAAAGGAATGGGTTAAAAAGCCAACTTCTCTGGCTGGTGTAACTCAGTGGATTGAGTGCCAGCCTGGGAACCAAAGGGTTGCCAGTTCAATTCCCAGTCAGAGCATATGCCTGGGTTTGGGCCAAGTCCCAGGAGGGGGCACATGAGAGGCAACCACACATTGATGTTTCTCTCCTTCTCTTTTACCCTCCCTTCTCTCTCTAAAAATAAATAAATAAAATCATAAAAAATTAGACAAAATTCAGAGAACAATGGTGAGGAGTTTATGTTTGGTTTACTAGATAATGAGACTTTTGAGATCTAGAATGGTTAATGCCACTGCTAATTAAAATCTGGTCCACTAACTGTGGTTACCAGTCTGGAACGAGATGGTACTGAAATCAAGAGTTAGCTCTTAGAAACATTCTTAGCAATCTGGCAGAGTAATTTTATGTCATTGAATCTAATAATTAAAAAAACTGGGCTTGCACTTTGTAACCTTTGTTTTTTAATTCCACTTCTTTAAGTAATTTACATTTTATTCTACAAACATATCAGTCCACACCACGTTGAGATTTTTAAAAACAACTCCTTTATTACACTAGTTTTATTGACTTATAATTGAAAATAATGTGTAAGTTTAATCACAGGTAATTTAATAAGCATTGGTTTAGACAAATAAATGGGCAGCAGTATAAAAAAGAATTTCTGAATAAAGAGAGGTTGGAAGCATACCAGCAAAAAGTTGACACAAATTCTATGTGTGAGATAATTGAACACTGGCATAAAGTTTGATAAAACAAACAAAAACTGTATACGTTCACATCATGGACAGAGATGCACATATATGTACATTTGTTGTTAATAGATTTACTTATCCTTGTTAGATCAGTCCAGTCCAGCTCTCTGTTCCCAGAAAAGCCTGAGTCTTTACTATTATCCCAAGGATTTCTTTTTCTAGCAAGAGACTTTGAAGAATCCTGAATTTTCTCCATACAGGCTGAATCTTCTCTCCTTCACATATCCCCACCCACCTCAGGTTGTTACTCTTTCCACTGTGAGGGATAGAACTTCTCTGGAGGTATAAAGACTTCTTACCAGTCTAGTGAAAGCCCCAGTCTGCTCTTATCACCAGACTTCTAACACCACCAGCTAGGTCAGTCTGCACTGGCTCTGAATATTTCCTAAGAGTCAGCATCGTGTCCTCTCTTTTCTTCTCATGCAATATTCAATCCAACAGTAAGTCCTGTCAGCTACATCTTTAAAATATATTCTGAGCCTACTAAGAATGTATAGAAAGATAACTTCAAAAATACCACTGGCCTGGAACTACTGTAATAACTTTTTAACAGTTCTATTTCCACTCTTGCCTATCTGCAAAATATTCTGCCTGTAACATGAATGAGCTTATCCAGTTCTTCTACTCAACACTTTCTTATGCTTTTCATCACCTGTGATAAAATGCAGACTCCTTACAGAGCAAACAAGACCTACATGGTTTACCTATCTCTCTGACCTCATCTGATATTACATTGCCCTCATTTACTTTGATCCAACCATTTTGCTTTTTGGCTGTTTCTTTTTCTTTTTTAAATTATATTTTACTGATTATGCTATTACAGCTGTCCCAATCCCCCCCCCCTTTTCCCTTTCCACCCAGCACTCCCCACTCCCTCAGGCAATCCCCTGGCCAATGTTCTTGTCCATGGGTCATGCTTATAAATTCTTTGGCTACTCCATTTCCTATATAGTACTTTACATCCCTGTGGCTATTCTGTAACCACCTATTTGTACTTCTTAATCCCCTTATCTCTTCACTAATTCTCCCCTAGCCACCTCTCATCTGGCAACCATCAAAATGTTCTCCATATCCATGATTCTATCTCTGTTCTTGTTTGCTTAGTTTTTTAGATTCAGTTGTTGATAGATATGTATTTTTTGCCATTTTACTGTTTATAGTTTTGATCTTCTTAAATAAGTTCCTTTAACGTTTCATGTAATAATGGTTTGGTGACGATGAACTCCTTTAGTTCATCATCATTTCTTGTCTGGAGAGCTCTTTATTTGCCCTTTGATTCTAAATGGTAGCTTTGCTGGATAGGGCTAAATGTAGGTCTTTGCTTTTCAAGAATTTGAATATTTCTTGCGATCCCTTGCCTACAAGGTTCCTTTTGAGAAATCAGCTGACGGTCTTATTGGAATTCCCTGGTAGGTAACTAACTTCTATGATCTTGCTGCTTTTAAGATTCTCTTTTTATTTTTAATCTTTGGCATTTTAATTATGTTGTGTCTTGGAGTGGACCCCTTTGCAATCATCTTGTTTAGGATTCTCTGTGCTTCCTGAACTTGTACATCTATTTCTTTTACCAAATTAGGGAAGTTTTCTTTCACTATTTTTTTCAAATAGATTTCTAATTTCTTGTCCTTTCTCTTCTTCTGGCATCCCTATATGTGAACGTTGGATAGCTTAAAGTTGGGTGGGTGAGCAGAGACTTCCTCTGTTTTGTTTTTACATATAGCTTCAAATTTTGAAACTGTTCTTAGCTGTTCAAGTAACTATTTGTTAAATAAGTAAGTGAACTTCATTCAAGTTCTTATTGAAACTGTGGCACCAACTAATTCCACCATGCCTCATATTCCTAGTATCTTTATCCTAAACCCAGACTATAGACTCCTCCAATGATTTATCCTCTAACATGCTCTTGTCCCCATTATTGTGTTCTTTACTTCCTCTGCCTTCCTGCCTTCTCCTGTTCTCACCAAACCCTTTTCACTCTGACCTTTGGAACTAACTACACTCCTAATTAACTCTCCTGAATCTTCAGTTACATAATCCTCTCATTACTTCCTTACTCTAACAAAAACCTGACTGGTTCTTCCTCCAAAAACACAGCTTTTGAAAGTTCAAAAGACTATTTTCTAAATTCAAATGCTAAAGATTCGATGGCCACCACCGCCACTTCCAGACCCCCACGCTACTCCTCATCCTTATGTAAAAAAATTACTTTTCATTTAAGACATTTGCCATTCAATTTCATATTACCCTCTGTCTCTGTTTGAGGCTGTAATATACAAACTTCCTTTATACCCCCTGCATTTGAGTTAGCTTTACTTCTCTACCCCGATTCCAGCTCACCATCTCAAATAATTTCACTATCTTTGGATACATAGCTACTCTTCTATTCTTGTGGGTCCTTGACTTCGCTGTTAATGACTTTTGACTCCTTTTCAGCTGTCTACGTCAATGACCATATTCTGGATCTTATAGTCTTCAGGAACTATTCATTCTCTAAAATCTTAAACTCAGATATCCCATTGTCTTATTTTTTTTAGCTTTCTCACTCTCATTTCCCCCTACAACCATTGCTTGACTTCATTAATCTAGTTCCTGATTTCTCTTTATTATCCTAAGCTATCATCTTCATGGCTTAAAATTCTTTCCCAAATAGCTTAGCATTGGCAGTTTTGTTACCAGTAACTTCAACACTTTTATTTTATTTTCTGCAGCACTTGTCATGCAACTCTCCAACTTTGGATCTATCCAGTTATTCAAATTCACATCCCAATTTGTTACCACTGCAGGAAGAAAAATCACAAAATTATATATATATAGATACCACAACAGATTCATTATTTCCACTTTATATTTGACCATCAGCACTGCTCAGAATTCCTATATTTACCAAATCAAATCATCTCCAGTTCCTTACAACAGCAATTTCAAACCTTCAACTCCCTCTGTAAACCTCTATACCACCACTTTCCCCTTGCTCTCTCTTTATTTTTAGAATCCTGATGTCATTTATTAAGTTGCACAATAATGAGATTAGCAAAATTATAAAACAATGCCACTCATTTTTTGTTCTGAAGAATATTGATATCTTTTCATAGTTTTACATCATGTTCATATACAGTAGGTTAATTATTTTTAAATGAATAAATATTTTAAAATTTTTCTAGTTTTAGTCCTGGCTAGTGTGGCTCAGTGGATTGAGCGTTGGCCTGCAAACCAAAGGGTCATGGGTTCGATTCCCAGTCAGGGTATATGCCTGGGTTGCAGGCCAGGTTCCCAGAAAGGAGTGTGTGAGAGGCAACTACACATTGATGTTTCTCTCCCTCTCTTTCTCCCTCCCTTCCCCTCTCTAAAAATAAATAATAAGATCTTTAAATTTTTTTCTAGTTTTAACTTCTATTACAGTAAATATTGACAGTGATAACTCACAAATCAAAATCCCTTTGGAGTCCTAAATAAGTTCTAGAGTGTTACAGGGTCCTGAGGCCAACATTTGAGAAGCACTGTTCCACTCTGTGAGGGTGCAGGTTGCATTTGTCTTGATCACTACTCTATCCTACCTGGGAGATATTTGAAAAGTGGTTGGCAATACTTGTTGAAAAAGTTATTGACTGAATGACTGTATGACTGAATGAATGATACTCAAAATGGACCTTGTCAGGCATTGCAGACAGAGGGAACAGTCTGATAAAAAAGGTCCAGAAACAAGAAAGTAAAGATTTTAGAAAAAGAGTGTTTGCCCTTTCCTTAGATCTTTCTCATTTTTCCCTATTTCCACCAACTTTCCCCTTTCTTACAGCATTGATTTCTGCTTTTCTACGGGCTGCTTCCCTTCAGTATGTTTTTT